CGGGGCCGTTTCTGGGGGGGACACACACACCAGCAGGGTGGGAAGGGCTTAACCAGGAGGAGGGAAGCGTAGTTACTAAAATTAGGCTCACAAGATTATTTCCAAATAAACATCACTCCAGATGAATAACAATTTAACGGATTCTATTTTTAGGGGGGGGGAGGGGGCACGGCATGTGCCAGTGGGGGGGCTCGCCTGGCCCTTTCCACCACCCTGCCAGCCACGCTGGGGCAGGCAGAGCGGGGAGATAGTGATGGTGCTGCTGAACACAGCCAGCGCTGGAGGAGCCTCGTGCCGGGTTCCTGCCATCCCGGTGGGGGTCAGGGACGGCGACGCCGTCCGGCCCGGTCCGAGGGACAGTGAAGATTTAAACATCGCTTCCTCCTCGGGGGCCGAGCGCTGGTGCTGGCGGGGCATCCCAACCTGCCCACTGAGCACGAAGCCGCTCGTCACTCACCGGGGAGGGAAAAATGTTCCTCGCGGAGCGTGGGTTCACGCCGGTGACCTTGAGGGATGGTGCCCAAAGGCAGGGAGCAGGGCCTGGCCCCCCCGCAGCCCCGGGGTACGGGCAGTAGGGCATTTCTGCAGGAGCTGAGCTGCTCCAGGCCTGTCGTGGCCGAACCCAGGCTCTGAGAAACCCTGTTCAAACAGCTCTGCGAGCAGCTACCCGTTAGTCACGCAGTGTGCTGGGATTATTTTCCTTAGCTATGAAAAGGCACTGGGAGGCACCACGGGGGCACACTCGGCACAGCCCCCCCTCCATGGCTTTGCTGCCCTGTACCCTGCGATGCACCCGACAAAACCTGGCTTGGCCATGCTGTGGTCACTGTCGGGTCACAAAAATAAAATACTGGGTGCTCCGGTGACCTCCGTCTGGTGGAAGGCGCTGGTGTTTAACCAGCAGGTAACGCTGGTGCCCTGTCACCGACACAGTGAGATCCCCAGACATCAAATATTTCACTAGTGCTAGTGGTTTGCTTTTGAGTTTCTTTGGCTAAATGCACAAAGTGCTTGGCTAGACACTAAAAATAACATTCTGCCCTGAGGGTTTTGTGGGCCTGGTGGACAAACGCCGGCTAACTTGGCCGCCGAGCCGCCGTACGGCACAATAATGCTGCTGGAACCGTTCCACGGGTGAGTGTTTGTAAACAGGAACGCTGGCCCGAGCCGGAGCATCTCGCAGCCCCGTGGAAGGCGAGCGCCGCTGCTACTCCCGTCCCCGCGCAGGGCCCAGCGGTGGCTTTGCGGGACAAGCCAACCTGCAGAGCCACCGCTGCTGGCCCTGTGCCCGCACGTTATCCCAGCGCCACCGCGCTCCCCGAGCACATCGGGTCACCGGAGCGTGGCAGAAGGGGCGAGGGAGGTGGCGGCAACCTCGCTGGGTGCGCTCAGTCCCTGGCTGCTGGGGAGGGTGGGGACGGAGTGGGTTTTTTTGGCACTGCTGCATGGGGTTTATAGGAACTGACCACTGCACACCCCAGGGGAAACGCAGGCGGGGTGGCACCCCGATGACGATGCCGCGAAGGTGGGCACGCCGTGGTGCCAGGGTCCTGCCCCGCACCAGGAGCTGCCCCAGCCCCCCCCCAACTCCTGTCGGTGCCCCACACACATTCAAATCCCCCGTTTGAGCATTTCAAGGAGCATTTGGGCCCCTTCGCCAGCCCCGACTGGGCGAACACGGCGTGCGGCCGTCGAGGAAGGGGAGCCCCGGCGGGGCAGGCAGCTCTCCGCACCCGGGACAAGGTGGAGCGGGACCGAGCCCCCGGTTGCGG